ACAAAGAATGAGCCAAGGGAATCAAGTTCTACCTCTGACTCATCATCTTCATGATTGTCCAAGTTAAATAACTCGGTAGGGTTGGCTTTCTTCTTGGTAGGCTTTTTGATAGCCTTGCTCTTTGTCCATGTCTTCTTGACTGGTTTGTCCTGCAGCTTCTTGGTCCAAAAAGGTGAATTGGCCTGCAAAAATTGAATGAGTGTGAACATGCAGTACAAGTGAAAAACATGATTCACGTGTGAACTTGATTAAAAGCTTACAGTTGGCGGTTTGTTTAGAACACATAAAGGACTTAATCCGACTTTACTGCAATCTCCCAAGCTCTCATATAACAGAGACTTGGTCATCTCATTGATGTCTTCATCAGTCAATTCAATTTGACAGAGGCGTTGAGGATCTAATAACTCGCCGGTATATTCATGCATTAAACCGGGATGGCGGCTTAGAGGTAATACTCTCCAGGTGACCCAGCATCAAACCAGATCAATTCCAGTCAAGTTGTTGTCCATCAAGGCCCGGATCTTTGAAAAAAATGGCATGTACTTCTTTTGTTCTGATGTACTAATGCGATCTTGAAGGGGATGCATGTTGCTAAGTCGGTTGGCGCGATAACCCGGCAAAGGATTTTCTTCTTCGGGAGAAGTGTCCTTGCAATAAAACCAAGTCTGGTTCCAGTCTTTGGGATGACTGGGCAAGGTGGCGGCTGGGAAAGTGGCTTCTTTCCTTCGATGTATGGAAATGCCGCCTAGCTCTAGGATGGGCCCATCCGTAAATTCGTTATGCCAGTTTAAATAATAAAACTCCTTGAATAATTCTACGGTGGGCTCCTGTTGAAGGTACACCTCGCAGAATACTTGGAAGTTGCAAATGTTTGAAACGGAGTTTGGGCCGATATCTTGTGGATGGAGCTTCAACAAATGCAACACGTCGCGAAAGAATTTTGAGCCGGGAGGGCTGAAGCCCCGAAGCATATGATCAATAAAGACAACTAACTCCCCCATCCTTGGGCTCAGGAGGAGTTTCGGTGCCTAGGACCCTCCAATGGATGACGTCCTTTTTGGCCAGGACACATGTCTGAACATATTCGTTCAACTCTTCCTCGATGACCCAGGAAACGACCCAATTGCAAGCAGTGACAGTTTTATCCATTTGGAGATTGAAAGCCTAAAAGAAAGAAACATTACCGGTTTAAAATTGTACTGTCAGACCGGACCATAGATTCAAAGGTAAGGTTCTATAAACGGATGACAGGTTAAGCCAGACGATGAACATTGAAGTACGTGGATATTCATATTGGCGGCTTAAAAGAGGACTAATGATACCTACCGGGTTAAGATTTCTGTTGTTAAGCCGGACAGAGTTTAAAAATCAAGTGTGTTGTGCAGAGCCAAATTATGAGGATAAATAAACAAGCATCGTTAAATCAGAGAAGTATTGTCATTTTATGCAAGCTATGAAGCATATGATGGCGGTTTAAACAAGGCCTAGTGTTGCATGATGGGTCACAGTTTATGATATAAGCCGCCATGGCAGTTATGGTACTTCAGATCTATCCATGAATTTTTTGCTAAGTGATGGACAAACGGATTTCACAGACTGGGGCTATGATTTTGGATCTACAGCAATTCAGAAAAGACAGTAAATGCTAAACCTAAGGTGGCCGCAGCAGAAAAGTTTGGGTGCTTCGATGAGGTCTTCTATGGAAAGATGTTATTCAGATGATAAAAATGAATGCTAAACTACTATCATGCAAGGTTCATGACCTATTTCAGATTAAAAGCTAATTGAGTTGAAGGAAACAACGAAGAACGGCCAAGAACGTCGATGAACAGAGTAAACCCTAATGCAGATCTAAGGATGGGGGAAATAAGACTTATGGATACCGATGAGTAGCGGTCGTGCGCCAGAGTTTTCTGGTCCGGTCAGGGTGATGCAGCGGCCTGAGCTGATGCAGCGGACGGAGGTTGATGGCGGCGGAGCTCGAGCACAGGTGCGGCTGTGCGAAGGAGGAAGACAAAGACGAGGAAGCGAGGGGGAAAATGATAAAGACCCCCGTCCCTATTTATAAGAGGGTGGATACAAGGCATGCGCGGGAATCGAGGAGGCCAAAATCATCATGTGGCTATATGGACGCCTTGGTTCTCAGGATGTTTATTAATATAAGGATCAGTTAAAGATATTCTGGGCCTCGTGTGAAATTAATGCGAAATGATGTCATGGCGGATTCTGTGAGCTGATGTCATGGCGGGTTACGACAAAGTTTATCAAAGGGATGATGCAAGATTTTGACAAGTCAGGTATTGAAGATTGATATGAACAAGTTCAAATCAACCTGGGGCCTAATGTTGCGGATATAACTATTAGGTATGAACCGCCCGGGAGGGGCTGGGTCATATCATTGGTGACTTATCAATGAAGATAGTGGGTCATAGCAAGCCCATTGACGGCCCAAGACCCAGAGGCGACTTAAGGCCCAAGGGGATGAACCGCCACATGTATAACTTGTATTGTAAGGCAAGATTAGTTAGTCACCGTGCCGGACACGTTGTGTATGAGCCGGTCGGGACTCTGTAAGCCGTCGGGCATCAACCTGTGTATATAAAGGGACGACCCAGCAACGGGTTAAGGACAAGAAAGAACAGATCGAGAACTAGGTCAAGTGTATTCACTCCCTGGTAATCGAAACCCAAGCGATACAACCCCAAACTAGAGTAGGCCTTTACCTCCGCCACGAGGGGCCGAACCAGTATACTCTCTGTGTCATTTGTCCCGATTAACCCCTTTAAGCTAACCTAGTTTGCGATGGCTCCACGACTAAGTCCTTCCGCTAGGACATCTGCCGTGTCAAGTCCACGACACCCCTCGTGCCAACGTCATCATTGGCAAGTGGGTGTTCCATCACAAGACTCGCCCGAATGGTTCTCTCAAGTGCTACAAGGCTCAGTGGGGTTCGTGGATTCCGGCAGCGCACGGGCGTGGACTTCACCGAGACCTTCGCTCCGGCTGTGAAACTGGACACGATCCGCACCATGCTTCAGTTGGCGGTCTCGCGAGCCTGGCCTGTGCATCAGTTGGATGTCTCCAACATCTTCTTGCACGGTCATCTTGCCAAGCAGGTGTTGTCTGAGCATCCCACTAGTTTCGTCGACGCCGAGCATCCGGACTTCGTGTGCTTGCTCTCCCGTTCTCACTATGGGTTGAAGTAGGCGCCACGGGCTTGGTACCAGCGTATCGCAGCCTTCCTGCAGTCTCTGGGCTTTCGGTCCGCTCGCTCCGATGGCTCACTCTTTGTCTGTCATCAGGGAGCTGACACTGCATATCTGCTGCTCTACGTCGACGACATCATCTTCACGGTGTCCGCCCCCGAGCTCCTTCAGTGGCTGACGGCTCGTCTTCGTGATGAGTTCGCCCTCAAGGGCTTGGTGCCTCTGCACTACTTTCTTGGCATCAAGGTGGTCCGTCGGGCTGATGGCTTCTTTCTCCATCAGCAGAAGTACGCCCACGAGCTTCTGGAGCATGCCGGTATGCTTAACTGCAAGCCGGCGTCCATCCCCGTCGACACGAAGGCGAAGGTCTCTGCTCCGGAGGGATCTCTCGCGTTCGATGCAGCGTTCTATCGCTCCATTGTTGGTGCTTTACAGTACTTGACGCTGACCCGACCCGACCTGCAGTACGCAGTTCAGCAGGTGTGCCTCCACATGCACTCTCCGCGTGACTCTCATTGGACCTTGGTGAAGCGTATTCTCTGTTACATACGCAGCACCATGTCCTTGGGACTCACTCTGATGGCCTCCGCCTCCACTGACCTCATCGCCTACTCAGATGCCGACTGGGCGGCTGCCTCGACACCCGGCGCTCTACGTCCAGCTATTGCGTCTACCTTGGGCCCTCGTTGATCTCTTGGTCATCGAAGCGACAACCTATGGTCTCCCGCTCCAGCGCCGAGGCAGAGTATCGGGCCGTGGCTAACGCCGTAGCCGAATGCTCTTGGATCCGTCAGCTGCTCCAGGAGTTGCTTTGTGACATTCACAAGGCCACTCTTGTCTACTGCAATAACGTCAGCGCGGGCTACCTCTCCGCCAACCCGGTGCACCATCGACGTACGAAGCATACTGAGCTTGATATTCACTTTGTGTGTAAGCAGGTTGCCCTTGGCCGTGTTCGGGTTCTCCACGTTCCGACGTCGCAACAGTTCGCTGACGTGATGACTAAGGGATCGCCTACTCCCGTCTTCGAGGAGTTTC